AGAGAGAGAGAGAGAGAGAGAGAGGGAGGGAAAGAGAGAGGGAGGGAGGGAGAGAGAGGGAGAGAAGGAGATGGAGAGAGAGAGAGCGAAACAACATTTTTTCCACAGTGTTCTGAGGAGGGAGAGGGAAAACAACAGAGTGAGAGAGAGAGAGGGAGAGGGAGAAAGAGACAACACTTGTCCCAGATGTAGAGTGAGCGCATAGCCGGCAACTATGTACTCACCGTCACCTGAGAAAAGAGAGAGAAAGAGAGAGAGAGAGAGAGACAGACAGACAGACAAGAGAGAGAGAGAGACAGAGAGAGAGAGAGAGAGAGAGAGACAGAGACAGAGAGAGAGACAGAGAGAGAGAGACAGACATGAGGGAGAGAGAGACAGAGACAGAGAGAGAGAGACAGTCTAGACAGAGACAGAGAGAGAGACCTACTTGTTGACCAGATCCTGCAGTTTCTGCATGGGCTCCGGCTCCCCATCCAGCCCACAGGTCAGCACCTCGCGACTCTCGTACACGCGGATAATTCTGTCCGCAGAGTTCACCAGGAAGCATCTGAAAGTAACGACCAGGAGGGCAGCATAACGTTAGCCGGAGGTTATGTATTATGTTTTAGTAGAGGTTTTACGGCGCTCGCAACTGCAATAGGTCATATGAGCGCCGGAAGATTAGAGGTGTTACAAGAGAGTAACAAACATAAAAAAGAAGGAGGGGAGATAAGGACGATAGATGTTTGATAGGAAATAAGAAGCAAACCATACCAGAGCACCCGCCAACCACCCACAGCCGGAGGTTAACTAGTCAGAGATGTAAACAGGTTTTGAAAAAAAAGCCGGGAAAATATACGGCGCGCACGCACTGACTGGACTAAAATATATTTTTTTCCCCCCCCTCTATTACAACAAATAATCTCTATTTAGTATATTTATATTATGTATTGTTTATCGTAGACTTTTGTTAAAAGGAATTTTTTGTCATGGAATTAAAATTCTAAACGTTGAAAAAAAAGGCTAGAAAAAAATACACAGTGCAGGCATAATTGTTAAAGGAAAGAAACGTTTTATTGGGGTTTTTTCCCGCTCTACTGTATAATTTTGCTTTCTAGGCTTGTTTGTACATTTTAATAGCTTGCAAATGATGATATTTTTCCCCCTCCATTCATTTTAACCTGTCACAATTCATGAATTTATGAAACTAAAAGTTTAACAGCTTCTGACTTTTAAGACGAAAGCAATTTAACAAAGAAAGATAACGAGTTATAATAAAACCAGTAATCTTGAAGATCTTAAGAAGTAATAAAGAGAAAGATGACAAATTATAACAAAACCAGTAACCTTGAAGATCTTAAGAAGTAACAAAGAGAAAGATAACGAGTTATAACAAAACCAGTAATCTTGAAGATCTTAAGAAGTAACAAAGAGAAAGATAACAAGTTATAACAAAATCAGTAATCTTGAAGATCGTAAGGAGTAATAAAGAAAGAGATAATAAGTTATAACAAAACCAGTAATCTTAACTCTTTAACCATGTCGGGACAGTACCATCGTTCGATGCGAAGTTATTATTGTATTATGGTACCGAATATAAAAAAGTACAAGCTAACAAGCCTTTAGTTTGACCCGGAAGTCAAAGACAAATGAATTCTACGTCTGGGTAATGCTTTATTGATCAATTTGACACGAGAAACGAGCAGTTTTAAAAACATAATAATGCTGGGTCGCATTTCCACAAACACAAGAGAATTACACGGAAACGTGATTTTGAATTGCATGGTTAAAGAGTTAAAGATCTTACTCTCCTCTCTACTAAAACAAATAAAACTAATTCTCCTCAGTTGCGAGGGCCGTAAAACCTCTACTAAAACAAGAACAACTTACTCTCCTCTACTTAAACAAGTAAAACTTACTCTCCTCTACTTAAACAAGTAAAACTTACTCTCCTCTACTAAAACAAGTAAAACTTACTCTCCTCTACTAAAACAAGTAAAACGTACTTTCCTCTACTAAAACCAGTAAAACTTACTCTCCTCTCCGGGCAAACTCGAGGGACTTGATGGCCGTGGTGTTGAGGCCGCCCGTCGTCACGCGGAACGAGGCCGCCAGATCTAGACCTTCCATTTTGAACGCAAGTATCTGTCGCCCCAACAGCAAGGAGGGGAAAAAGGAGAGGGGGGGTTGAATGTGAGAGTGTGTTTTTGTGAGTGTGTGTGTTTTTGTGTGGGGGGTGGAGGGAGGTGGGAATGAAGTGAGTGAGGTGGGGAAGAAAGAAGTGAGTGAGGGAGGGGGTGTGTGGTTGTGAGTGGAGGGAGGAGGAGAGGAAGGAGGGATGAGGTAGTAAGGGGGGGGGGGGAGGCGAGAGGAGTAGATATACTTGGAGACGACATTCCTTAAACTTAAAAGCTGGGATCACGGAAACTACACGTATAAAGTTAAGTATCACCAACACACCATCCAGACATTCTGCTTTCGGTATAATTCAACGAGTTAAAAAGAAAAAGTTTCAACTCAAAGCATTTCCAACAGGTATTTCAAATATACTGCACACTGTTTCATGATTTTCATGATATCTAAATAACCTGCGAATTCAAGACATTCACGATTTACTGCATTGGAACCCAAATACAAACAGGATTACCAGTTTTAAATCTTCATAAAAAACAAAATGGGCTGAATGCAAAAACAAAAAAACAAAACAAACAACCCAACACAGTACACTGTTTATTATACTCAATACGAACAGGTTTATGAGGGTGCGGTGGCGAAGCAGTTAGTGCTCTCGTCTCCGAAGCGGAAAGTCCGGGTTCGAGCCTCGGTTCGGACACTGATTTTTTCCACCCCCTCCTGCCCACCCAGCAGTAATTGGTACCTGACTTCGAGTTGGGGAAGTAAAGGCGGCGTGGAAAGGAACTGGCCACCCTACAACAATAATATGCCGAAGGCCCAGGAAGTCGTCTCACTAACGAGGCAATCCCCAATGTCTGGATCGGATGTGGGAACAACTTTACTTTTTAGGAACAGGTTGTTGTCTTAACTTCCACCAAACGGTTCAACTGCATCTAAATATGAAATCAAGACATCAGAAATTCCAGAAGATTATAGGATAAGATAAGATAATACTTTATTATCCGAGAGGGACATTTTTCTCGGCTGTACATGACCGTCAAAACACATGCAGGTATGCACATAAAAATGTTAATTATATTTTACTCTCATTAAATTTCAATATATGAAAAGAGAAGTAACGCTGACAAAAGGAATATACCAAATCAGACGCATCATTCAACCACATGCAGGAATTTAATTACAAGACCTGATATGAAATCATGAAATGAGAAATTCCAGAAAATAATAATCACAAATCAAAACGACTGAGCACTCACCCTCCCTTTTGCATTGCCTGTGTAGATGTAGCGGCCTCGTCTGTCAAACGAGGCAATGATGTTCAAATCTGACTGAAAATTGAACATACAAAAATATATACAAACTTAAATTCCCATGCTTTTCATTTTTTTCAAATGAACAAAATAATGGCTTTATCTTTAACGCATACAATATAAACATTCTACAAATCCTAATTTGACTGAAATTTGAACACACAAATACAAACTTAAATTCGCATTCTTTTTTTTGGGTTCTTTTTCTAATGAGCAAAATAACAGAGCTTAATTGTTAGCACACGTACATAAAAACAATCTACAAATCTTAAAATGGTTAAAATTTTCCTAGTTTCCACAATGGTTGACTTCCAGCATTGGTCTAGATTGGTTCAATATCAGGGATGCCTCAGGAATTTTGTGAAAATTGACAAAGCTGCATAGTTGCGACCACAAAGACAAAAGACAAGACTAATATGGGGTAATACAGAAAAACAAAGGCTGAGAAAAACTTCTTTTTACTGGATTTCAGAGAAAATATTGGAAATAAAGAAGAAAAAATTAATATAAAAATAAGGGGGGAAGTGAGAAGTGGATTTTTGCACAGGTGACTGCCTTAGGCAGGTGACCATTAGAGTAGGTTCTGTCGTACTTTGCAATAGTGTACATTCCCACCTCTAATCATTATTCAGAAATATAGATCTGTCCCCGTCGTTTTATGCAAGAAAAATTCTGATGCTAACTGAGCCCAAAAAGGTGAAATTATGCGATTTTGTTAATTTTAACAAAGAATGAAAAAGGAAAATAATCAGAAATTATGAAGAAAAAAAGATCAAATTTTGCTAAATTATGCGGGGTGCATAAAACCACGGGGACAGATAGATGAAGAGCCCACTTACGTCGTCGTCAAGGGGGACAATTTTGTGATCTCCTTTGATAGTCATGAGCACAGCGGCATGTTTGAGGGGACAGACCAGGAACTGGTTGCTGAAAAATACAACACCATGAAGATTTAGTCTCAGTTTTACAATGAATTTTACAGCGCTTAAAAAGCTCCTGGAACAACATATCTATCACAGACACCACACTCGCTTAGCACATGACCGAAAGCTGCTTAGTTTTAGTAAGTGTTTTACAGCACTTGCAAAACAGTGTCATATAGAGGCTGAAGATTAGAGGCGTTACAAGGGAGTAACAAACACAAAAAAGAACAAGGGGAGATAAGGACGATAGACGTTTGATAGGAAAGAAGAAGCAAACCACACCAGAACACCCACCAACCACCCACCCACCCAAAAGATGCATCTCCCTTCCACATCCTAAGGATACCAGCGGAAGGAAAAATGAAAAGGTGTAACACAAATTAAATAATTAATAGGTCATATATATAAGTGACGAAGATTGGAGGTGTTGCTAGAGAGTGACATACAAAGAAAAGAAGGGGGAGACAGAGGAGCCAGAGAGATATATATTTGTTTTGGAAAAGAGACCACAAAAAGTTGTAAATTTATCGTGATTATTGACACCATTGAACAACATGACCATAATCTCAACGTATTTATAAGTATGTTACCTGTTCTTTTTTTAGTTTTAGTACACGTTTTACGGCACTCGCAACTGCATAAGGTCATATGAGCGCCAGAAGATTAGAGGTGTTACAAGAGAGTAAGGCCCCGCGTCCACTGCGCTTTTTCGTCACTTGCAGGCCAAACTCACATGCAAATGAGCTTGTTTTTGTCAGTCACTGACTTCCTTTGCCTGACTACACGATTTTCCTGCATGCACGCTTTTTCGTCAGTCGTGTAGGGGACTAAGAAAGCCTCGATTCGACTCATTTTGGAAGGAAATTTGCATCTTTAAGTACATTTTTGCTTCTTCATTGCACTTTACATTATCAATAAAGTTGTATCTCATTATAATATATTGTAAAATAGCAGATCTGAGCTGAAAAACAGCAAGAAAATGAAATTGAAGCACTTGACCTAGATCTAGATAATTATTTCGTTCTTGGGAGAGCTAAAAATAGGCCATGTTAGACTTAGCTAGGGACGTGTCTAGATCTAGATATCTAGATAGATCTACGATCTCTAATGTTTAGTGCTTCAAATTTTCCGCCAATTTTTAGTTTTCTCCAGACATTATCTGCCGGTCCACTAGATCTGGGCCTAGATTCTAGATCTACATCTCGATATATTGTGTCGCTTTGCCTTTCCTGAAACAGTGCCGTATAATGAAGCTTAATTTACCCTTTGCTGATGAAAGTTCTGATGGCCGAGTGAACAGTGTGTCTGCGTTTGGAGGCAGACATTATTTTTTAACGTGGGTTCGAATCCCAGTCCCAGCTTTTTTTTTTTTTTTTTTCCTTCTCATCGTCCCAACTTACCAACAATATTTACCATAATTATAATTTGTTGCTTTTTAGTTTTTTTAAGTGTTAAATAAATCAATCAATCGCCTGTGCTGTCTGTTGTTCTCATAATCATAACGCACTGGGCTAAAAATAGGTTTAGCTGTCTTATTCCGTCTTGGCTGGTCTGACGTCGGTGGACGCGGATCTTTTTGAGTCGCTTCTACACCATGAAAAAACCTCGTACATTAGCCTGGCCTGGAAATGATCTTATTTTGGTGGACGCGTAGGCTAACAAACATAAAAAAGAAGGAGGGGAGATAAGGCCGATAGATGTTTGATAAAAAAGAAGGAGCAAACCACACCAGAGCACCCGCCAACCACCCACGTTACCTGTTAAAAAAAAAGCATGAGGAAAATCTATATTTATAAGTATGTTACCAATTCCAAAAAAATGCATGAGAAAAATGTATTTATAAGTAAGTATGTTACCAGTTCAAAAAAATGCACGAGAAAAATGTATTTATAAGTATATTACCGATTCAAAAAAATGTATTTATAAGTAAGTCAGTTTTTTAAAAATACATAAGAAAAATGTATATATATTTATAAATGTGTTACCAGTTCCGAGGATGCCACTGCACTTTCAAGACAGGGGAGGGAAATCTGAACACTTTGTCGTTTTCCCCGGAGAGAACGTCCCAGATGGACACAGTGTTGTCTGTGGCTGCACTCAGCAGTTTGCGACCGTTTCGACTGAAGCTGTGGAGGGAGGACAGATTGGCAGATGAAAGTTTAAGTTTCAAAATATTGATGAACTTAGTCATAGGTTTAAAAATATAGATGAACATAGTGCTTTTTTGTTTTAGTAGAGGTTTTACGGCGCTCGCAACTGCATAACCGTCATATGAGTGCCAGAAGATTAGAGGTGTTACAAGAGAGTAACAAACATAGAAGGGGAGATAAGGACGATAGATGTTTGATAGGAAAGAAGGAGCAAACTGCACCAGAGCACCCGCCAACCACCCACTGATGAACTTAGTCATAAGTTTAAAAAATTGATGAACATAGTATGACATGAAGTTTCAAAATATAGTTTCCAGACTTTTCAAAATATTGATGAATTGAGTTATAAGAAGTTTCAAAATTCATTTCAAGATGATCTTACTTTTAAGTTTCAACAATACTGACGAATATATTTTGAAGTTTCAGAACAAATACAATCATGACATAAGAAATCCAGTACTAGAGGGCGATATATCCCCAGATTGGTAAGCTCTACATTGGGTGAACTAACCTCAGGGAGCACACGGGGTGCACATGAGCATTGATAAATTTGGCGATGCCCCGAGTGAGGAAGTCCCAGACGACGATTCGACCGTCGTTACACCCGACGGCCAGCAGAGTGCCCTGTCTGTTGAACGTGCAGGTGATCGCGATGCTCACACAGTCCAACGCGCCATCAAAGTCCTCCGGAAAATTCTGCCCAAACGACTCTAGAACAAAAAAGTGCAAGGAACACGTAAGAAACTGAAAAGGCATGGACGTTGCAAATAAAAATCAAATATTGATCAAGTACAGCTGAGCATCACAAACAATTTCTGAATGAGTTGTTTTATACATGATGATATCAAATTCAAAATTCAACAAACCAAATTTTATAATGTAAAATGACTATAATATAAACAACCAAGCCGGCTGCTCTAACAGCCACCTGTTCACAACAATGATCATCTGTTACAAACGAAAACTTCCCATTTACTCTTTTGTGTTCTTTTCACATATATTGACATTTCCAATACATAACTCTACACCAAGGCTATCTAAGACAACATTGACAATAGGAGGCCATCTTGAACAATTTCAATTAGGCCTAGATTTTTTCTAGGCGTATCTAAATGTTGAAGGAACGGGAAAAGATGCTAAATTTTATAAACTGAACGGACACTGCCACCCCAGATCTGTGGACCTCTTGTACAGTGCTATATATAAAAAAGAATGCAAGGGGGAAGTGGAGTAAAGGTCGTCAGATGATTTTCTTGAACAAGTGGTAGCCACCCATCCAATTCATTAGAGTTAGAGCAGGTTCGACTGTACATCTTTACGAAGTGAGTATTCCCACCCGTGGTGGCAATAATTTTTTTGGTTGTTCCCACCCGGGTCGGGTCACTTCTCATCTTTCCTATCTTCTGTTTAGATTCTAGATGTTTTTTATAGATCTATACAGGCTGAGGGCCAACCTCTAAACCTGGGGTGAGAATTAGACACATTGTCACATATATACCGGCAGATCTTGTCTAAGTAGATCTAGTATGCCTCTACAATTCTGTGCTGGGCCTTGAACTATTGAACACATTCAAACGAGAGTGCTAATATAATGCTGAAGGGAAAAATTGACGTAACTTTTTTTTAGCTTTTGAATGCTAAGAGCTTTTTAGCTATCAAATCAATCTCACTAAAAGTTAAAAAAAGGCCAAAAATATGAATGAAAGTAAAATCAAATCATTCACACAAGAAGACACACACACCTTAGTCAAAAATTGAGTAAAATATTTTAAAATCCCCTCAGGGGGGTGGGAATTTAATAAGAGAATGGGAATAATCTCAGCCATATTTTTAACAACTGCCGACAATCATATATGTAGGCTAAATAAAAATAAATTCATCCGACAGAATGCCAGTACCGGTACGCCCAAACTGCCAACTGTGAGTTTGAGTCAATTTTAAAATAAAATTAATAGAAATCTGGAATCTAGGCACTGGTTAAGACTTGCCGTCCCGCCTCGGTTTGTTTACATCAGCAACTCAAATGCGTCACTGGTTTAGATTCTAGATCTACACTCTAGATCTAGATCTCTGCTAACAGCAAGCAACTGCAACTGATTGTGCGCGCTAAAACTTTATAGTTTGCGAGTCGGAATGAGGACTAAGCTTAAAAATTTAGATCTATAAAAACAAAATTCTAAAAACCCAGCATTCCAAGAGGTTATCAGGTTGCTGATGAAAACAAAACAACATGGCGGCGGGACGGCAAATCTTAACCAGTGCCGAAATCTCTAAGAACACACAAACAATATATGAACAAACAGATGATTAGTTGATCTTAAAAAACCTCGGTCTTGAACAGGAAAAACAGTCAGTGATTCTGCTTCTTGTGAGAGAGTGACTGGGTGTGAGCTGACTACTGAACTGAACAACAGTGAACAGCAGCAGCAGCAACCTCAACCAGCACAATTGACATTTTTGTTTAATAATGATTGCTATTGACATTGTTGAATTGTTGTCACGGGAGGACTTCCGTAACGAGCGACCAACTATTACTATGACAGGGAGCAGAATTGAGGGGTAGGGGTAGGGGTTAGGCCAGGGCAAGATCGACGGCAAAAAGACTCGAAGCCTCGATCCCAAAACTGAAAAAGGATCGAGGAATTGAGTCCGATTTTCGAGTTTGGAAGCTGCTTCAAGTGGGCTGTTTAGAGGCCATGACTTGAACACTGCTAAAAATAGTCTTTTAAGAACGAGACCTCGAGTCTTGAACACTGCTAAAAATAGCTCTTAAGATTGAGACCTCGAGTCTTGAACACTGCTAAAAATAGCTCTTAAGATCGAGACCTCGATTCTCGAGTTTGACAGAGAAGTGGCTGGCTAAGCCTGCGCGCATGCCGAGACAAGTTGGCTTTCACGCATTTGTGTGTGTGTGTGTGGGTGTGTCGTGTGTGTGTCGTGTGTGTGTGTGTGTATG